CTGTGTGCTCGTTTGTCACCCTTATCCTATAAAAAAATAACTTTATTCATAACTGTAAATGGCCACTAAGCAAAATGCCCTTAACCCTAGAAAAATAATCTACGTCTTTGCGACGTAAACGAAATACAAAAATTACTGTTTCTTTTTTATTTCGCATCGTAGTGCACTGTATCTCTCAGTTAACTCTGTTTTCGGATAGAGCTTACGCGTGATGGTGTCAACACTGTAAGTACAATAATTACGTAGATACATATATGGTGTACGTCCGACTGACGTATGATTTTCCTTTGTGTAACTTTTCGGACTTCTTGTTGTGAAATTTATTTATTGTTTATCAATAATATTCAGGGCTTCAGATAATATTGGTATATTTCACTGCAATAGCTGGACGCAGCATCCTTGTCTAGTCAGATTGAGGCAATATTAGAGAAACAAATTGAAGATCCATAAGAACTGTAGGTATATGGGACCTTTAAAACATTAACAAACAAACATTACGTGTGACTTCTGGTTCACATCTGTTCCTTTGGCTATATGCTTGCTACAGGAACTCTACAGACTGACACTGGTATGCACCATACGCTCAAATATGCAAGAGATCCCAGAATAACTAAAGAATACTCAATCGCGACCAGTTGTTTCTCGAAGTTTTACTATGACGTGCCTTTGACGCTTGTATCATGCAAACCAAAGCCATCAGAAATATACATTTACTACCGTCCTTAGATGAAATGGGTACAATCAATCAAAGACCTGGTAAATCGGAGACGATAATATATTACAACCAGTCGAAAGGTGATGTAGACACATTCGACCAATGTTCGTCTATGTAATGTTTGAGAAAGACCAACACCTGGCAGTTTGAATAGTCTATCATGTAGAGAATGTCATGGGGTCGTGGTTGAATAGGGGCAAAAAGTTCTCATTACACTGCTAGGGGGTCAAAATGGACAAAAATCAAAAAATTAAAAATGTTTATTTCGGCCATAACTTTGCCTCCTTCGGAGGTCTTACACAGTCTTTACTTCCCACTTGTTCATACTGTACATCAAAAGGATTCGACATCCTTACATATACAACATATAGAATAACATGTTTTAAATGTAAAAGACCAATTGGCGGAGAGACAAAAAAGTGATCTATAAAATCATTGTACGTAGGTACAAAATATTATTATTTTTAAGTATAACAACTGACTAGTATTTAAACTTTTGTAATACATTAAAAAAATTGTGATTTAAATCTCAAATTTGTGATTTTCTATCTGATAATAAACATATTTTTCATAAAATGAATACTTCATAGTTTATAGTTGCTTTAGAACAGGTTTACCAAATATTGTTATTTTTTTAGATTATATTCCATTTCTCATAATAATTTTGGCTTAATTAGTAGTAAAAACTCTAAAATAATTATACAATTGCCTATAAACGTAAGTATGGTAATTTGTCGAATATGCACATTTAAAGTTCGATACGTCTTCAAGAGTTCCAGACGTATGATTATCTTTAAAGTAGGTATAAATAAGATTGTATTTCTAAGGGTGACTTGGCGCCTTCTGATTGATGTCGGAATAAACTCTCTGTTGAAGCTCGTATGTATAGTATAAAGTTACAACCTATATACGTCGCACTGTTGGGCACAGTCCTCCTATCATTTCTTAAAGGGTTTAAGTTCAAGGAAATGTCAGCCGCGCCGCCCCAATGCGTGTTGGCGAACTTTACATGTCTTGGAAATAGTTTTTTTCTTATTTCTCAGACATGCAGATTTTCTCACGATGTTTTCCTTCACCACGTGGTAAATCAGCACATAAAATTGCAATTAACAATTTCATTGGTGTCGTCGGGGATCGAACCCGGGCTGCTCGCGTACTGTGAAATTTACAGCGAGCACTAAGCCCCTGAGTTACTGCGGCTTTCATCATATCAAGTCTCATAACCTTATACATAGTAGGCCAGACGTAAAATATTCAGACCACCAACGTGAAATATCCTGAGAAACATCAAAGGTAGAAGGCGCATAGCTTTGCAATCGTCAATTACACTAGAGGCTTTTTTTAGCAGTGGCCTGTTTACGCGATGACAAAGAAAACTATGTAGTATAACTTTATTAGTAAATACGAAAGTTTCTTAATTTTGATTTAATCTTTTTTTTTTTCTTAATACAATTAATATTTCGACAAATGGATGGGTAAAAACTTAACTCTGATGCAAAACATGGCTTACAAGTAATAATGTTCTTACATTATGTCGCATAAAAAGTACGCAAGTAATAAATAAAGCAAGCAAAGGTCATTTATTACATAAAATCAATTATTATTTATCAAACTAATATTACAAACGGTTTAAGTTACCCAGAAAAAAGAATACCACCACTCGCGAACATTTTTGGGACTCGATCCATTTTGTCAACTGCCTTCCAAGTCACGAAAAATTAAGCAATAAAAATAAATTAAAAACCACACGAACGCAATCGTAAAATATTCACACTCATACTTCAAGCGGCTGGGCAGTTCAATTACTTCAACATGGGCCAGTACCTTTTATTGCATTCTGTTTATTTACAGATGCAGAAAGACTTGTTACATATATAGAAAAAAATTCTGTACAGTCGCTAATTTTATTTTAAACTCACCAAACATATCCCTTTTATAGCACAGGACTTCGCAACTGTTTTTCTTTGCGGTATAATATTGTATTTTGAGAATGTGCAATGAGAATTGCAAAACCAAGAAATAAAAACACCGACCGTGTTTTAAAAATAAAAATTAAGCTCGATAATATATTATGGGGCTTATGGATCATAGGCCATGATAGACGAATTCTAGCGATCACGATCGTGTAGAGGGCATTATCGCCAATAACCGCCCATGATCAGTAATGATCGACCGGAATTTTTTTTATATGATAAGGGTAACAAACAAGCACACAGTCCACCTGATGGAAAGTGATTGCTGTGGCCCATAGATTTTTATATTAACTAGTTTTGCCCTAAGCAATCATCAAGCCCTATGATAAAGTATACCGAAGTTGAGTTTGATAAAGTTACACTTAGTGACGGTAATCGCAAGTATAACCCGTGGTAGACGGTAATCGCAAGTATAAGCCATGCTGCAGCTATATTAGTAGTATAGTTGTAGCACGAATGGGTCGGCTCGACCGGCGAAGGACCATGCTCTCACAGAATACCAGCGTAAAATAGCAGCTTAACACTGCTGTGTTTCGTATGGTGAGTGTAGAGAACCGGAGACCCATTTTACTGGAAAAGAGGCATTCCATCTTAGTCCTCACGAGTGACAACGCATCTGCATTTTGATACTTTATTGAGGATAGATGCAGATGGCTATGGGCCACAGCAACCACTTACCATCAGGTGGACTGTGTGCTCGTTTGTCACCCTATCATATAAAAAAAACCCGCCTATACACCATCGGCCATGATTGACAACCACAGAATGGGGCGTGCTTGTCACAATCATTGCGCGGCTGCCCACACAATCGTGCATCCTACATATTCGTGTTGTCGTCTGTCCGAGATGAATTTTGAAACAGTAGCAGCTGCCGTATTTGTTTAATTATTTTATGATATAACTATTATTGAAATGTAGACCATAACAGAGTGGGGGGAAAAAAAGGAAGTTGTTCTATTTCGGTGTATGTTAACTATACACCGAAATAGAACAAGGTAAATTTATAGAGCTTCGGCGTGATGATCTGATGATGACCTGGGATTTGAATCCTGTATCTCATGATCAACAACGAGGCATTTAAGATCACACTAAGTATTCAAAATAAGCCAGTAATAAAATATCTGGCCCAGTCCATTGACCCCAACTTGAAATTTAGCTAACTTCCGCATTTTTGCGTTACAAATCCACAAATAAAGACATTCAATTCGCGTATGCGCCCCGATAAAGTACAAATCGGACAACGTGTTCGTGACCGTCGCATACAAAACGAAGATTGCGGGCACAATGCTAATCTCACACGCTTGTGTCGACTAAGCGATGCACCGCATTTGTCACTGCATTAACTAATGTTAGTTCATTTGTTTAGCATTGAAATTTAAAACAGAGATTTATTGCAGTAAACCAAGAAGCTTTTACACAATCATCGGATCTCTTGAAAATTTTGTGCAAAACCAAACATGCACTCACTCAAGCATATTTTTATACATTGAACATATACGAGTATATGTAGATAAGTAAAATTATTTAGGCAGCACGTTTCTTTAAAATGAATTAGAAAACCGTTTTCATATCAATTGTATAAAAGAATATATTGTTAATTGATATTATTTAAAAAAAAGTCCCGCTGGGTGTATTGCTGGTTCTTCCCGACAGAGGTTTTTTCCGAACCAGTGGTAAAAGTCAAGTAGTATATTTTATTACGAGTGCGGAAAGCCTGTCGTTGCAAAGAATTCCGACAAATGTCTAACCGAGCCGAGACGCAGTCGAAGGTAAGGGTTGACAGTCGGAACAAGTTGCAATGACGGTTCCGCACGTGTATTGAACAACTATTTTAACACTACGTCTTACGCTTAACTTCTACGCTTGTCCCCGATCCGGGCTAGTGTCGGTTTTTGGATACAGATCAAAAGGCGCTTGCGGCAAGCGCTTGCAAGCTTGCAACGCATTCACACGTTGGTGCGCGTTTAGTAAATAGTAACCAGGGATGTTATGGAGCTCCGTAACCGTAACCGAAACTATCGGATATCCGAAATAAAAAACTATTCGTAACCGTAACCGAATCCGATATAAAAGTTTCGGATAATTTCGGATAAGGGTAGGGGCTGAGTCTAAATGAGACTTGTTATAACAGGTTTCTTTTTTACATTAGCGGCGCGTGTCTCTTACTCTTGCATTGTTTGTTTATTATTTATGTTGCAGTCATACATAAGTCCCGTCAGTCAGTTTTATATTTAGGTACGAGTAATTAGTTTAGTTCGACGAAGTGAAAGAAAAGTGTTGTGTTATTAAATTGTTTACCTAATCTGGACCAAATGCGACCTAAGTCTAGTTTAATTTGGAGATTTTTTAATCAAGTTAATGCAGATTCCGCAAAATGTAAACAGTGTGATAAAACCTTTTCACGAAAAGGAGGTGGCACTACTTCGCTTAAACTTCATCTTAAATCAAAACACGGTGATAAGTACGAAGAACTTTTGTTACTAGAAAAAGATATCCAACAAATACCACATACCACGAAACAGCTGACACCATTACAAGAGTGTAAAAAACAGCTGTCAATAACAGATTCTTTAAAAAATAAAGGCGCCTGGGATGAAAGTAATGTCAAGCAAAAAGAAATTGATAAATTAGTAGCTGAAATGATTGCATTACAAAACTTGTCATTTAACTTTGTGGAAGGTGTCGGCTTCCAAAGATTAATGCAGGCAGCATTACCACGCTATCATCTAAGAGGTCGGCAGTATTTTACTAATTTGCTGTGTACTGATATATACAATAAAATTAAATTAAAGGTGCTGGGATTACTTAAGCAATTTGAAAAGTTGTCATTTACTACAGATGTGTGGTCAGAGCCCAGCTCAAATGTATCGTTACTTAGTCTTACTGCTCATGGCATCACCAATAAATATGAAAGAGTTTCTATAATACTCAAGTGTGAACAATTAGAGGGTCGGCACACAGGTGAAATTATAGCAAATAATTTAAACAATATTTTGAAAGTTGGGGCTTAAGCACGGAATCAGTTCATTGTATTTTACGCGACAGAGGATCTAATATGATAAAAGCTATGAATATGGCCAATTTCACTGATGCAAACTGTACTATTCATCAACTACAATTATGTGTGCGATCAACGATGGAAATCGAAGAATTTCTCTCGTCAGTAATTACGAAGTGCAAGAAAATTGCAACTCACTTCAATCACTCCCTAATCGCGCAAAATGAATTGAAACAAATTCAAACAGAAAGACTGAACCAATCAGGACTAAGTATAATTCAGGAATGTTCCACACGGTGAGATTTTTTTATTCTATTTTATACACCTATCTATTATGTAATTTTTTTTTATTTGATTTGACATTGTTTTTTCTTTTTTCACAGATGGAACGCGACGTATTATATGATGAAAAGAATATTGACATTAAAAGACTCCTTAGTACTGTATTCGGGCGCGCATGATATACCAATTCTTAATGCTGATGAATGGCTCGACTTGAAAAAGTGTGTTGCAATACTAAAGCCGTTCGAAGAAATTACAAAGGAGTTAAGTAGTGCTACTGCAACAATAGCATCAGTGATTCCATTAATATATACTCTTAAAAACACACTAGAAACAGAGAAGAGTAAAGAAGAGACTTCTGAGAACTTCAAATTAATGATTACGAAAATGATCCAAGACATCAATGTCAGATTTCAGGATATTGAAAATAATAAAATATATACAATAGCTACTTATCTAGATCCACGGTTTAAACTCAAGTTTTTTACTGAAATTACGAAGGAACAGGTACAGTCTGAGATTCTGGGGATTCTTGGGTGTTCAAAAGCTTCTCGTGATGAAGGTCCTTCTTCACCTAAGAGATCACGGAATGAGATTCCGACAACAAGCTCAAGCAACTATTCACACATTCAATCTTGTCTAGCTGAAATATTAAGCTTAAGTGACGAGGAAGAGCAAAACATAGATTGTGGTGATGATGTGCACAATCAATTTATTGTTAAAAAGACATTACTAAATGAATACAACAGGGAGAAACGATTGACACTCAATGAAGATCCACTTTTATGGTGGAAAATGCATACCAAGTACCATTGCTTAAGTGATTTAGTAAGACAGTACCTTTCTCCACCTCCTGGAAGTGTACCAAGTGAGCAGCTTTTCAGTGCAGCTGGGTTAATTTATGACCCCTTAAGAAATCGACTTTCTGGTGATAAGGCTGCGAAATTGCTTTTTGTTAAGTATAATTTACCTTTGCTTAGTTTCGACTATTAAAAGAAATCATTAAGTGAAAGACAAGTAAATATTTTGTTATGTTATGTTCAGATTTTAGTTTTTATTCTTCAATATGCAAAGACTTAAGAAGACTGATTTATGCGTTGTAATAGTTCCTAGAAATATATTGAAGAATATAATAGAAAAAAAAACTAATAGCATTGTTTTTGATTATAATAATTTTGTAATAGCATTTTTAAGTAGATAACTTAAAAATATGTAGGTAGCTACATTAATTAGTATACTATTCTTATAAAATTGTTAATTACTTGAATAAATGACTGATTGTAACCAAATGATAACCAAGATATAAAGCCAAATGATTACCTACTTATTTGTATTTTACTTAAATACCTCAAAAATCTTATCCGATCCGAAACTAACGGATAATCCGAAATAATTTTATATCCGTAACCGAAACCGAAACCGATATAATATTATTCCCATATCCGTATCCGTATCCATATCCGAAATATCATATCCGTAACATCCCTGATAGTAACCATTATGATTTCGCGACGAGCGCATGTTTAGTTTATTGTTCTAGAAAGTTGCAAATGCTTGGAGTCGTCTTGCCGAGTTAATGGGAAAGCCAGTAAAAGAATTAAAAGCCAAAAAAATCCATGTTTTTGTATTTCAACTAAAAGTATGTTAAACCAAACGCAATAGCCGACACAAGTTCGGTGTCCGCCATGTTTGGATATACGTAGCACATTGACGCATTCACAAGCATGTTAACAACTGCCAAACGCCAAACGAGATTTGTGGACGCTTGGGGCTTGAAGACGTTTGCCGAGGCTTGACAAGCGTGGAAAGGCACCATAATAAAAGGGATTTTGGAAAATGGCGCCAACCGTAAAAGAATATAAGCAGAGATTTTTTTGTTTTCTTCACCCATTCCGGGTAGGCAAAGGGAACTATGCCCATACAGCCAAGTCTTCAGTAGAATTTTTTTATTGATATGAAATGAAAATGAAATTTAATTAGATGAGATGAAATGAAATGAAACCTAACCTAACTCATTGAATCAAATCATTAAATCTGATATTGAAACAAATTAGTAGCTTCTTTTTAGAAATATTTGCATGAATCATAAAAACTTCTATGATTTTTTTTAGTAAAAACTTCGTGGTTGGTTTTCTCTTTTTAATAGACATTATTTCGACAGTTGTGAAAGAGAACGCACGAGTGCGGAAAAGGTAAAGAAAAAACACGAGTATATAAGAGCCCACATCCCGAACGCTATACGTCCCTGCAATACGACACTTTTTGAGCAACTGTATTAAAAAATGACTCAATAACTATTCTTGTAATCTATATTGAAGGAAAATGATTCTATTCTATTCCTAACCAAAGCAAGTTGTGAGAGAAATCGTCTATTCAATGATAGCGATACAGTGATGATAAAATACTTCTGTTTAAAAAAATACCAATGCAAACCTAACAAGCCCACATATAAATTTCAAGCTTAAAACACCGCTGATTAAGCGAGCTAATGGGCTCGTAGATGATGACTATGTAAATAAAATTGACTCAGACTTAGGCTGGTGTTTACGTAAGGACAAATTGCTTGGCAGGCAAGTTAGCAGTCGCTGTTTTTTTTCTAGTTGTTATTAAAAGATGCTGGCGGCATTCTGGTTCGTTTCCAACTGTCGTCTCTTGTGACACCAACGAGACGATATGAGGTAGTGGATATTCTTAAACCGCCGCTACAGAATCGGTAATTAATTTGCCAAAAATAAGCGATATCTTTGCCCTATAAATACATTGTAAGCATTCAAAAAAATCACACTTTGAGTTTCTTGATATCCATAGTATCCATCAATAATCAAAATCGCTCAGTTAAAAGTCTAAAGAACTCGTATTTATTTCTCGGGAATCGCCTAGTAATTCCTGAGGAATTTTTCTAAAGGTCACATGTGAATAACCAGCCTTCGGATGAGCATATCGACGCCCATATCCCCTTAGTTCATTGCCGTGCGTAATTATAGCGTGAATCTGCCATGATATAAATAAAATATTACTATTTGCAGCTTTGATAGTTTGGATGCTTAACTTTTTCTTTATTTAAAATGGACAGGAATAAATTCATTTAAACAAAATTTTACAAAGTAGTTTGATACATTTAGATAGATAGATAGATTTATGCGCTAGTAGGTTATATTATTATTATTCTGGTTGGGTCAAAATCATTTATTGGGTTTTTCTGTAAAGAAACTCTGAACGGCAGCTAGGAGTCAGGAAGTTAGCGGTACCTCTAAGCCTCGGGAAGCATGCAAAGCCGTTGGTCCTGCGCCTGAACTCTGTCCCCCTGGACCCTGTAGGATTTCTGTCCCTTCGGATTATGAGAGTGAGGGAATATAGCTTAGTAGTTTAGTAAACCTATGTTTGCGTACGTTTTAATTCTCTGGGTAGTCTCCGTTGAGACGGGCCGCATTAAATTAGAGAATTTAATATTTATGAATAACGTATGTACTGATTTATTATATTTACGCGAACACTACACATTGAAATAAAACTGGTTTTACGGATTTTATCGCGTATATTACACTTATTTTATATTCCCGACCTTTCGAGCACTCAGTCCCCCCCCCCCCCCCCCCCCGTGACCATGGGTGCTGTAAAGTGCTGTAAATAATAGTCGGGAATATAAAATAAGTTAATATACGCGATAAAATCTGTAAAACTAGTTTTATATAACTGATAACTTTGTTTGTTTATTATTTTATTTTATTTATTTTCAATATAAATAGAACAAATAATCTCTTTGTACTCTACTCAATGAGTTATAGACAGTGAAACTCCACTTTTCAAGGTAAGAAATTTTTTTATGGCTTCCTTTTCATGTGCGTGAATCGAAAAATTATTAAATATTTAAATTCAATATTTGGATTTGGATCAACTTTATACACTATATACGAGTATGCAAATTTCTGGTTTGTAACTCATTCCGTACACGAGCTAGAGTTTCAAGACACGGCTTCGGACGAAAAACGGACAGACGAACAGACGGTAGAAAGACGATAAGAACGGACAGACTATGAGTGGGTACAAAACCCAAAAAGTAAAAGTTAAAAGAAAGTTTTAATGGAGCTTTATGATTTTTTTTAATAAAGCTCACAATAAATGGGTTATCATTTCTTAGCCTTAACTATATCTCATCGCTGTTATATAGTTCTCCAGGCTATAATATAAAAAAAAAGTTTTGTACGTGATAGAGCCACGCTGCAACTATATTACGTTCGACCGGTGTAGGACCATCCACACTCTCACAGAATACTAGTATCAAATAGCAGCTTAATGCTGCTTTGTTTCGTATGGTGAGTATAGAGAACTGGAGATCCTTTTTTACTGGAAACGAGGCATTCCATCTTAGTCCTCAGAGTTGAAAATGCACCTGCATTTTTATTCTTATTTGGCCATAAATGTATGTCTATGGGCTACCGCACCCACTTACCGTCAGGTGGACTGTTGTCATTTGTCACCCTTAATCTATAAAAAAAAGTATTTTATACGTACCAGTTCTCTATTTTAATTCTACAATAAAAGTATAATAGTTATGCGGGTTATGATTCCTTTTACTTTCGTTACTATAGTTGCCTAAGGCGCTATAAGCGAAACCGGCGTCAATAGACATTTATGAGTTGTCTTCGTTAAAGGGCGAAACTGGTTGCATGAAGTGTCCCTTTCGAACAGCTGTGGTCAGAACTGCATTCCTGCGGCCTTCAGTTTGATGAGGTACTTATAGCGTGATGTCTAGAAGTAATAAGTTACAAAGACTAGCTAGAACGTCTACAGTGTAATGATATTATTATCTGTCTTTTGTTTTCACTTCAATAGAGCATTAGACGTAACGAGGCTAATTGTGACGCGATAACGTGCCTGAAATATCTATGATTTACTTATTATATTATGTAGAGCAATGATATTTTATATAAACATATCATTAATGTAGGGATGATTTTTAATCATCAGATAAATGTTATTCATCAACTAAATTATATTATAACTGAACAGAATATATAAGTGAAACAATTGTACTTTTTTATTTATACAGCTGTATTTGTTATTTTTTATGCTATATTTTATACTATGAATAATTTTTATCTAAAGATTTAAAAATCAGTCTTAAATACACTAATAATCGGTATCGAAATGGACTAAACAATTTTATATCAAAAGTTTTTAATATTACATTCTAAAATACGAAAAGTTTAAGAGCCAAAAATTTTATTATTATTTTATAGAAGGTAAACCTTTTTAATTTATATTCTATAAAATAATAATTAAATAAAATATCTGCGGTAGTTCAATTTTAAGTGTTGTCTGAAGTTTAAGCGAAGACATTTATAATGTCATAAACATTAAACTTTTTATTGGTAATTCGCCAAATTTCCTTACACTTTATTGCGGTTAAGTTCCTTTAACTACCTGCTTAAATTATCGTACTCTTAAAAAAGCGAGACAAGACTTACTATTTTCACATAAAATGAATTTTATAAGATTTATAAAAAATATCATTTCATTGTCCTGTATATTTTTTAGAATTACGAATAACGATTATAGTAAAACCACAGATAAGATAAGTTACCTACTACGTAAGTAAAACGCACTAAAAGTAATTTCTACTAAAAACAGCTTGTATAAATATAAGTGAATGGTAATATGACAGATTTTAATGTAACAACACAATAATATATAAAGCTACTGGTATTGTTACAACATTATTCATTATACTGGTAATATTTCATTTATATTTTGGTTACAAAACAACCTTACGTATGCGATACGCCTTGAGTTCATTGTCAAGGTTACGATCGACGATGATCGGCTACGGCTATCAAGTTGTTTCTTGGTTTAAACAAAAACTCTTATTTTATGTCATTTATGCACTCACTCATACCTTCATTAAAAACGCCGGCATCGTGTAATAAATTAACAAAGTCAAGTTGTATTTTTTAAGGTTTTATGCGATTATGCATTTTCTGTATAAAATAACC